ATGCAGGAATGGTGGAATGTGATGGAATGCTGGAATGATGGAGCGATGGAATCATGGAATGATAGAACGATGGAGTGATGGAATGTGATGGAATCATGGAATCCTGGAATGACAGAATGGTGGAATGATGGAATGTGGTGGAACACTGGAATCGTGGAATTACAGAATGATAGAATGTGATGGAATCCTGGAATCATGAAATGATGGAGTGATGGAATGGTGGAATGAGGGAATGGTGGAATGTGATGGAATGGTGGAATGACAGAATGATGGAGTCTTGGAATGTGATGGATCATGGAATCCTGGAATGACAGAATGGTGGAATGATGGAATGGTGGAACACTGGAATCGTGGAATGACAGAATGCTGGAATGATGGAATGTGGTGGAATCCTGGAACCATGAAATGGTGGAGTGATGGAATGCTGGAATGGGGGAATGCTGGAATGATGGAATGTGATGGACTGTGATGGAATCATGGAATCATGGAATGATAGAACGATGGAGTGATGGAATGTGGTGGAATCATGGAATCCTGGAATGACAGAATGCTGGAATAATGGAATGGTGGAGTGGTGGAATCGTGGAATTACAGAATGATGGAATGTGATGGAATGCTGGAATCATGAAATGGTGGAGTGATGGAATGGTGGAATGTGATGGAATGCTGGAATGATGGAATGTGATGGAATGTGATGGAATGATGGAACCATGAAATGGTGGAGTGATGGAATGTGATGGAATGTGATGGAATCATAGAATGATAGAACGATGGAGTGATGGAATCATGGAATCCTGGAATGACAGAATGGTGGAATGATGGAATCGTGGAATTACAGAATGATGGAATGTGGTGGAATCCTGGAACCATGAAATGGTGGAGTGATGGAATGGTGGAATGTGATGGAATGGTGGAATGTGATGGAATGCTGGAATGATGGAGTGATGGAATCATGGAATGATAGAACAATGGAGTGATGGAATGTGATGGAATCATGGAACCATGAAATGGTGGAATGATGGAATGGTGGAGTGGTGGAATGATGGAATCGTGGAATGGTGGAGCCATGAAATCATGGAGTGACGGAATGCTGGAATTACGGAACCATGGAATGGTGGAATTGTGAAATGATGGAATGCTGGAATCATGGAATGACGGAGTGGTGGAATGTGATGGAATGCTGGAATCATGGAATGACAGAATGCTGGAATCATGGAATGTGGTGGAATCCTGGAACCATGAAATGGTGGAGTGATGGAATGCTGGAATGTGATGGAATGCTGGAATGATGGAGCGATGGAGCGATGGAATCATGGAATGATAGAACAATGGAGTAATGGAATGTGATGGAATCATGGAATCCTGGAATGACAGAATGCTGTAACGCTGGAATGTGATGGAAGGCTGGAATGTGATGGAATGATGGAATCCTGGAATGACAGAATGCTGGAATGATGGAATGTGGTGGAATCCTGGAACCATGAAATGGTGGAGTGATGGAATGCAGGAATGGTGGAATGTGATGGAACGCTGGAATGTGATGGAATGCTGGAATCATGGAATGCTGGAATGATGGAATGTGATGGAACGCTAGAATGTGATGGAATGCTGGAATGTGATGGAATGATGGAGCGATGGAATGATGGAATGGTGGAATGATGGAATGCAGGAATGCTGGAATGTGATGGAACGCTGGAATGTGATGGAATTCTTCTCTCTCCCTCTCCCCAGGTTCACCCAGAACCTGTCGGCGTTCCGGAGGGAGGTCAACGACTCCATGAAGAACTCGAGCTACGGCGTCAACAGCAACGACATGATGAGCTGACG